ACCCAGGGATCACTAAGAGCGGAAAAGCGCCTATTCCAGTCCTGATTAAACTACCATTCTAGAGGAGCAGTTTTGTTACGGAGAAGCGAGCGAAACTCCCGTGCCCGGTTCTGACGGGCAGTTTTTAATTCAGGCGGAGAATCGAGAAAAACTCCTAATGTGGGTTGGTTTTCGATTCTCAACCTCCTTCAAAACCCCTCCTGTCCAGATAATATAATTTCAGCAAGTTAGCGACTTCGATAGGTTGGTCGCACAGGTCGTCTTTTGTTGGTGCTGTTGGTGTGGCCGGACAGTTAAAAAGGTGAAGTACGTCACGAGCACTATAATAACAGTTCGAGCAGATGTTATTGGTGTCTTTATCGATTCACGAGAAGTAGCTGTTGAGATGAGTGCCAATTCCGCAGCGCAGTTGAGCAAAAAGGCATCTAGTACGACGAGGAAGGCGACTTTCTTCCTGTGGTACTTAGAGATTCGTTGAGCCCGTTAGTTTTGCAGGGTTACAGTTTCTATAGTTATTAAATTCCATCCGGAGAATGTTTTTCAAAGCAAGCTTGTAGTCTGATGGTGAGATGGATTTATCTTCGCCGGGTAATGTTGTATTTCATTATGATTTTTTTTAGTCACAACCTGCTTCAATTTTCTGGATTTATAGTTAATGAGTGTAGTGTGGTAGTCAACTCTGTGTAGTTGGTGCGCACCGGGTACGAATTGTTTGCACAGCATTTCATTCTGTGTTTTAGCTGGCAAGATTTCGCTTTCGCATTGATGATGCTCAGTAGGGCTCAATTTAGCGCAGCCAGTTGCTATTCTCAGAGCAGTATTTTGCTGAACCTGGAGCTCATTTTATCAAAATTTGCTAAACCAGGGCGACCAGACTGGAGCAGCATAACGAACAACACTTCGCTCAATGGATTTAGAAGTAACACAAAGCATTTCTTTACTGCAATTCCAAATAAATCTAGAAAATTTTACATTAAGTTATTCCTCGTTTTTAGTTGGTTCATGATGTTACTGATGTGGTGTGTAAAAGACAAGAGATTATCAAAAGCTACGCCCAGGAATTTGGGTTTATTGCTCGCTGGTAATACATTCTCATTAATGACGACATTAATTCTGTATTTGACCTCTTTGATTCAAGCCGTGAAGATAATTTCCGTGGACTTGTGGGATGATATTTCAAGGTTTCGACTTTCCATCCAGTTGTAGAGATCTTTTGAATATGGTTGGAAGGTTGTTTCTAATTTTGAGATATCAGGACCTGTGGAAGTAAGGGTGATGTCTTCGGCATAGGTGGTAACTTTGATATATTTTGCTGATGGGAGAAGCATAGAGGACATGTAGATATCAAACAGGACAGGGGACAAAACTCCTCAGGGGACAAGTTCTATAAGAAGAGCGCAACCTTGTAAATGTGATGTGATCCATCGTTTACTATTGTTGGATGTTAAAAATTGGGATGTCTTGCAGCAAGATACCGTGATTCACTGTGTCGAAAGCTGCAGTAGGATCAAGAGCCACCAATAGCGTTCTGTGTGGTGTTCTTAGTTGGCTGAGACCATTTTTAATGTCAGTGACAATACAGTTGAGGGCAAGTGTGATGTTTTTACGCTCATCTAGTACAATTCTTTCAATCAGCTTTGCACTTGGCGATAAGAGTGCGATCGGCCTGTAGCGTTTTGCCTACTCTTTTGTTTTTCCCGGTTCAAGTAGAGGAAATTTTTTTTCGGTTTTCCAGTTCTGCGGTATGATAAATGATTTTCAAGACATATTTTGTTGTTGAGTAGGAAAGACCCATTTCAGATTGGCATTAGTTTTAGCATTGTACAATGTTTTCTTATCGAGGTGTTTTAGTTGGTTTGATGTACGGTATGTGTTGTTGTCCGACAAAAATTTAACAGTCCTCTACCGAAGCACACACGCAAAAAAAAACATTATCATCTTTCACAGAACGCAATATGCGGAAACTCAGTCGATAAAAGATGAACCTACGACTGTTATTTTGCAGAAAATTTCAACCATTAAAACAAACCTCGAGTACAGCAGGTATTTAAAATCCAAACACGTTTAAAATATTTGTTGCATGAGTTAACGACCTGGTTTAAATATTCTCTAAAAAATTATTGCACTGGAAAAGTGCCTAAGTTTGCTTTAAAAACGAGTAGGAAAGATATGCGTAATCGCCTAACGAACGCGAGACTGGAGGCGTACAACTTACTGTCTTTAGCAATTTCTTTAAATTTCTTAGCAATTAAATACAAAATAAAGGATAGTTGCAAAAAATTTTTTGAGAAACCGTGGCCCTAAACATTTTAGTGTCGTTGACATTGTTGCAAGATGAATATAAAACTAGCGGCAAAAAATGAAAAGTTCTGATTTTTTTGATAAAAACGAGCTTTTCATAAAAAATAAAGGTTCTAAATTTAGAAAAACATGAGCCTCTTCTCTACCACAATCAACACCAACTGCAAAGTCAAGAATTGGATAACCAATAAAAAAGTGAATTATCAGTTTTTATAGTTTTTCGGTTATAGCTCGAAAGTAAGTTTGGTCATTCTACAAAAAATCGATATAATTTTCGAAAATTTTTGTGAACCCTACATCGCCTCGAGAAAAGCCCAGGAAATTGACTCCTTCATATACCAACTTACGTGAACTCATTCATACAACATACGACATAAGTTTTGGCACTGCTCGTTCCGCGTTTTGCTCTAAAATTGCACGCTTAAGGTACACGAAATCAACTGATTGGCCACAATACCGGAGAAGTAAGGATACTGTCTTGATATTGCGAAAATTGTAAGCTTACGGTTCTTGAAAAAGTTCTGCTATTTTACAGCTATTAAGTCAAAATCAAGGTAGCTGAGGTTATTTTTTTGAAAAATTTTCCTTGAACAATTTAGTTTCATAGAAATAAATGCAAGACGAAACTAAAACTAGCTGAACAAAAAAGACAAGTTCTGATTTTTTGAACATTTACCCAATGAAAAAATAACTTCTAAATATTGAATCAGTTCCCTACCACATTCAATGCCTACAGCAAAATCAGGTATTACATCTCCAGTAAAAATATATCCGATTGCTGTGCAAGTAGCACAGAATGTTCCGACCGTATTCATAGAGGGTTTTTTAATTTTTTTAAAAATATTATTGTCAATTCTAGAGCGTCGCGTGCTTCGACAATTTAATGATCAAGTAACAAAACTGGTGAACTAAGCATGATTCTTTATTTCAGTAAAGTTTATTTTTCTAATTTTTTGCAGAATAAGTTTATTTTTTGTAGAAAACGTTTTTGCCAAATAAGCGCAAGGCGAAACATCAAAAACTGAATTTATTTATAATAAAATCAGGTTGTTTCAACCTAAAAAATTTTTTAAAGTAAATTTCTATACACAGAGGCGAAGCTTCACTTCGCAAACACTTGCGAGAGAACGACATAAAGCAGCTCTGTAAAGTTAAATAATAAAAAATTAGAAATAATCTTGAATTAACAAAAGTTCGGTTGCTTCTAAGATTCGAACCTGTCACCTAGCGATTAAGATTCCCACATACTAGCCACTCAACCACGGAAGCTTAATGTACGCCGAACAATAGCGTCAACAAAAGCAGAGAACAAATGCTATGCAATTTCCAATGCTATAGTGAAAGTTCCAAATGAGAGAACACTTTGAATGAACACTTTTATCTGCGAGTTAGGTTAGAAATTAAGAAGGTTCGTATTAACACACTAAGCATATTGCAAATATAATAACAAGCAAAGCTACTCGATCGCATGTCTCGCACGAAATCAAACTAAATTTTAAAAATTTCAAACCAATTTTTCTCGGCAATGGGACATTTTGCAATCTTTTAAATGTCGCTTGAATCAAGACTGAAAATTGTTTAATGTGATATATCACGTGACCCATTCCGATGATTTTCATGGTACCAAATTTTGCATGAAAAACAAAAAAACTTTCGACCAATTAGCTTGCCACGTTTGAATTTTTAATCAACTTCTAAACAAAAAGTAGTACCACTGCTTGCAATGTGGGCGATGAACTACCTATTTCAATTTCTATCACATTTTGGGAAATTATTGAAGGGAATTTTTATTTATTCATCTTGGATATCTTTAAATTAAACTTGCGTTTAGGCAACTGGAATGCGTAATTAGCTTTTTGAATGGTAATTGAAGTTCAAAACATAGCCAAATAACAGTTGGAAAAAAGAAATGAACGCAAGTAAACAGAAAAACTGCCTTTGCTGAAAAAATATTAACTTTCGAATTTGAAAGGAATAATTAGATGCCCTTTAAGCTCTTTGAATTTCTAGAACAATTCATCATTGGCGCTTTTTTGATAACGTTAACCCAAACTGGATTAAACGATTAAATTTTTATTCCGCTGGAAATCTAAAATTAAAGAAGCAGGTTAATATATACATATATAAGCGCAGTCACAAATGAATTAACAGGTATGAATGCACATCTGTAGTTATAGAGCATTTTAAGACTTTTTACTGAAAAACAAAAAAATCACTAAGACCTATATAAGATTCTTCAGTACGTTCATTACTCATAAAACTTCAAAAAGTTTATCGAACTTCATAACGTATATAAAAATTAAACATATTTTAAGACTTTCCTGAAAAAAAACATGGCCAGAATAATTAACAAGAAAAAATTTCCGTATATTTTCCCGGGTAATAATGAAAAAAGATCAGTGAAAGCCAACAAAAAACATCCATGATTTTTGCATGAAAAAATAAGCATGAAATTATTTTTTCCAGTACATGTATTGATCAACTCATTGATCAAGCTGCATATATTAATAACTATAGATTGCCGGATTTTACCTTTTAAAGTCTAGTTTTGAGCTTCAATACACTGAAGTGTAGAAAGTAGTTGCAATTACAATACGAATTATACAATTGGATGCTTAGCGGATTCTTGAGCTAGATGCTACAGTAGCCGAATTGAAACTTATTTGACCTATATGTTTTGCTTGTAAAGATTTAAAACATTAAAAAATAATTAATCAAGTTAAGCATATAGGATTTGATTAAGAAATGATACATATTGTACCAAAACATGAAATGGACATAATTGTTTTAAATTAAATTAAATTTTACAAGGAGGCCAGTTAGCTTTTCTATTAAGTTACTTTTAGTGTTTATATTCAGTAATGCGTATTTGTAACAAGATGATTTTCAGTTAGTTCATTGCGAAGCAGCATCTTTGTTAGACCTATTCAGTTTCAGATGGCTCTTGACCAAATCTCCGGTTGACAGTGCTGACAAGAGTGACAACTCTCCCGCAACGACACAAGATCCAATTATAGCTGCCAGTTGCTTCGCATTTGAAAAAGCGTTTTCATTAGAAGCCGTTTCCGTAGATGTAGAACCTTGCACGTTTAGCATCTTAAGCGCCGCTTTCTGGGCCGGCAGCATTGTTCCACCCCCTAGTGTTCCGACTTCCAAACATGGCAAAGTACAAGTAATCGAAAGGTTTCCGTCCTCTGTTTTTTCCATATAAGTCGTGCAGTTCGAGCTTTCCACAACTTGAGCGGGATCTTGGCCAGTAGCAATGAATATAGCAGTGATAATGTTAGCAGCATGCGCGTTGAACCCGCCTATGGATCCGGCCAACGTAGATCCAAGAAGATTTTTTACAATATTAAGCTCAACTAAGTCGTCAACTTGAGTTTTAAGCACACTTTGCACGATTTGTTTAGATATAACAGCTTCCGCTACAACTTTTTTGCCCCGTCCTAGAATCCAATTTATAGCCGACGGCTTCTTGTCAGTACACATATTTCCACTGACGGTTATAATTTTCATGCTTGTAAACTCGCACTTAAGATAAAGAAGGCACTTTTCCACGGCTTTCGAGACCATATTCATTCCCATCGCATCACCAGTCGTTGCTTGAAAACGGAGAAACACATGTTTTCCCGATTGAGTGGGCGTAACTGAAACTAACTTGGTATGTTTGCTGTCCTCTGATATTTCAGCACGCAGCTTGTCGATGTTGCCTTCATTCTTAAACCAATTGCAGAACACGTCAGCTTGCACTATTGTTGGGAACTTAACTGCCGGAGCTCTTGTCATCCCCGAGTCGTTGACAACTACCCGGACGCCCTGGTGAAGCGCCTTGCACCCTCTATTAGTACTGGCTACAAGTGCACCTTCTGTAGTTGCTAAAGGAACGAAAAGTGGCTGATCGTTTACAGTAAGGGGTCCAACAACCCCAACGGGTAGCTGCACATAGCCAATTACATTCTCACAACACGCGTTTCTCATTTCATCATAATCAAAGTACATGTAAGGCAGATCGAAAATAGAAGAGTTCGAAGACTGTTGCGAAATGAGTTCTCTTCGAATGGCCACAGCTCGTTTCGAATCCACTCTCTGTTCCAAACTATACGCCTGCACTTTCTTCGTTTTGATCAACATCACTATTTCCAGGTCTGCCAGACTTACGAGTCCTTCGTTTTCAAGGATCTCGCTGCATTCTGCAAAGGATCGTATGTCATCCATCTGACCCCCTGAGCTCCAAGAAACCGTGCGGTCAACTACAGGCTGGTCACCTGCTATATTATTCGACATGGAAGGAGATTTTCGCCGCCTCGCGATTGAGTTATCACCTCCGGCTCCGTCCGTGGAATCACTTCCCACCACAAACGCTACTAGGTCAATTTGAGATGGCGGATCTGTATGATTCAATTGGACGACGTTTGACGATGGCGAGTAGCTTTCACTTAATGCAAACTTAAAGGCAAGGGATATAGCAAGAACTAGTAGAATCACAGGTTCCGTTTCCACCGAGTAACCGTAAATCAAATCTATGGTTTCGCGGTCTGCTATTGCGTGCAAATCGTAAATATGCTCGTCATAGCTGATTGCGGTTTTGCACAGAGAGTAAGCACAATCAGAGGGATTGAGGTAGTATATCAAAACATGGACCGCAATGGATCCGACCGAGATCAGAGCTTTCACTTTCATCATGGTCGAACTAGTATCTGAGGTCATGAAGGAGCAGTCGATGTCTCGACAGTCGATGATGAACTCGTGATGTTTACTAGCTGGTTTACAGCCATAGAGACAGACTTCAGAAAATAGCACCAGAAGGGCAGGGTATATCGTCATAAAACATGCATAAATGGATGACACACATATAATTGATAATAGACATACCAATTTCAGATATTTCAGGTTCAAAATGAGTCCCATCGCTAACAATGAAATGGAAACCACAAAATTCAAAAAATAAAGAGGACCGAAATTTTGAAACGCGGAGGCCAAAGCGATTCTGTAAACGTATCTACTTGTCGACTGCGCGGCGAACACTCTTTGGCCGAGGCAGACTGTTTTCGGCACATCTAGTAGCAGAATAAAGAAAGGAAGAATATCAATAATGTTCACTTGGATCGGAGCGAAAATGTAGCTAACGAGAATAAAGAAAACGAATGAAGATATTGCTGCCAGCAAAACTGTGAAAAAGAGAATTTTGCGCATACCAATTTTGTTTATGCATTGAATTTGCTGGTAGGCTGACAGAATAGCAACTACTCTTGTAATGGTAAGTACAACTCCGTCTAAGCCGTTCGGACTAGAATACTCGACGGCTGCATTATTCCACGAAAAGGGAAACTTCGGCGCCGTTTTCGAAACCATGACGGACACAATAGTGCTAAATGCGATTGCGAGCTGCATCGAATACTTCCCACAAAGGGTGCCATAAGAGTAAAACAAGTCAGAGATAATCATCGTCACTTTGGTTCTGAAAATACAAAATTATTGTTTTGTTTTTCTCGGTGTAACTTGATGTATATTGAAATTAGTTTAACAATTCAAATTATTCTGGATTAAAATAAGTGTAGATTCTTCATGAAATGTTGAGGCAAAATTTTCTTTGGTTCAACAGAACAGTCTCAATTGCGCCAAGAAATTAAATAGAAATTTAAATAGTCCTTTTTTTATAATTCATCGGATACGTCAATTCGATTTTGTAACAGCACAGTAGCTTGTCTCATAATATGAGCAATTCAAATGCTTGAATCATCGATCAAAACACATTTTAGACGAACAAGACCTGTTTATTTTATGGTTATTTATATAGATTACGTAACTTATACATCCCAAGCTTATGAAGCTGATCTGTCGCAATACTGCTTCCTTGGTTTAAAAAAAGGTATTACCAAAACAGCAGTATTGCGTCATATTAAAGATGTAAGCCATGCAAACAAGAACAAACGCTTGATGTGCGAGTCGCATAGCAGAGTTCCAACAAAATAACGAAAACGGAAACGTTTCTTTTTCGAAAAAAAGAGCATTTTTTTCACTTTTTTGTAGTTTCAAAATAATAACTGACGTATAAACCAATTCTTAGTCGCGTTATTTATAATTAATTTATAATATATTTATAATAATTTATAAAAAAAATTATTTTACTGGCGCTACTCGCTCTAAAAATAATCTAAAAAACACGAACCGAACCTAAAAATTCGAACCGGCTACTCGAACCTAAAAATTCGAACCGACAAGCAGTTAATGAAACAAAACAAATGACCCACTTTTTGAACCAAGTAAATCTTTTACAATCGCCATTTCTGATTCACTGCCTAACCTTCACTGCAACTAACCTTTCAGACACCTTAGGGTCAAAAAACTTGAAAGAAAGATTTTAAACGACGATGTTCTAAAGACACTGTATAAAGATGCCACTTTGTTAATCAAAAAAGCGCCGAGATTGCGCGAAAGCAAAACACAGCCAGCAGACAGTTAGAAAGTGGCACTAAATCTTGGAACTACAGTCCAGCTAAAGCTGGAAATACCTGTTTGATAATTTGTTTTTGAAATTACCCTTGTCCTTCCGCATCAGTACAAAAAGTTCACAGACATAGCAAAAAGTAAATCCAATTTAATGACTTCAAAACCTGCTAACTTCATCATTAACTTCAGTTTTTTAAATATTGTAGTGATTTTTAGAGCTTGTTATGTCGAAAGATGCTTAAAACGTTGCTCATTAGATTTGGTTGGGTAGTTTTTGAGAAAGTTTCAAAAATCAAAAATCGAAATCTTGACTTTTCAGAGGTTCATATTTTTTTGGAAAAAAATTAGGCGTAATCATTTATGCAGCGAAGCTTACCACAACCCGTTCTTCTCATTTAAACCAAAAACTCAGATTTGGGAGGGTAGTTTTTGAGAAAAAACGAAAAGTTTCAAAAAACACTCAAAAATCGTATATTTGACTTTTCCGAGGGTCATAACTTTTTTTTGTGAAAAAATTGGGCGTAACCACTTATGCAGGGGAGCTCCTCACAACCCGTCCTTTTGATTGAAACTAAAATCTCAGATTTGGGAGGGTAGTTTTTCAGAAAATGTATAAAAACCAAAAATATGGGTCAAAAATTCCCCCACACACATTTTCGAAGGCTGTAGAAAGTGTGGTAAGGTAAAAAGAGATTAGGGGAGTATGCAGACACACAGGTGATTAGGCGGACTTCCATTGGTACCACTTTTTTTAAAAACGGTTAGAGAGTTTCTAAGAAAAACTTATCAAACAGGAACTAAATTACCCGCACCTTTAAGAATTTTACAAACAGACGAAAAGAAGCTTCACTCAACTTGCGATACAACATATACATAGCACCACAAACTAACCGACAAATAGAGATGAAAGCCGTATAAAAGTTTTTTCATTAATATATCAAGCAAATTGATCAACAAGTTTCCTACATTCGACGTGATCTTGTCGTGAATAGAAACTCCTTTGCAGAAAAACTTCGAGCAGTAAGATAAATTGAATGCTAAATACCCATCGAAACAAGACCTACGGAGCAATAACAAAGCCAACAATTCTTAACAACTTTTCAAGTTCTTACTCAAAACATTTAGATAAAAATTTTTTGCTTCTCAAACGACCAAAAAAGAAGCCTCAAAGCCGATATATTATAAAGTGGAACTATTCAGGCTGAATTTCGAATAGAACGGGCATTTAAAACGCAGAGAAGCCCAAAAATTCTGTTCGTTGACAAAAGTATAGAGGGAGATGACCACCAATCTCAGTCAACTTAAAAACTGGTTCGGGAAAAAAATCTAGTGCACGATTGCAACATTGAAGAAACTAATAATTTGGATAATCTTAATTCGGGGTTAACTTAAAATGTTGACCCCGGTAAAAATTGAAAATGAATTGCAAAGAAAGTGTTCGGTTATACTAAACTCATAAAAATTACCAGCATATGGACTTCTGAAACATAGCCAACAGAAATTTTGAAGAGAATCAATGGACGCCAAGAAACCAAAAAATGACTTGTTTTCTTGAAAAAGATTGAATTTTCAATTTTAATAGTAAAAATGACCTTGAAACTCTTGGAATTTCACAAACAGCTTATGAAAACTGGATCAATATTCCGTTTTGAAATTTGGAAATTAAAATTCACTTTCGAAACTAATTTTGAATCCACTTTGAGACATTTTTCGTGACCATTACTCTTTTGGTGTTCGATAGTGGAGTTTGCCTTCTTTTTAACAACGGAAAGAATTAAATTTCAAAATAAACTGAAAGGTCAAATCCGCGAAAAAAAAAATTTGAATGTGAACAAATGTTAAGACCTTTCCTAAAAAAAGTAAATAACCTAGAAAAGAGTCTTGACTACGTTCATCAACTCTTAAAAGGAAACCATTTTTTGGGGCAAAAAACAACATCAGCAAAAAGAAAAGGTCAACAGCTACTGATGAACCCACGGCACCTGGACGAACATTAATTTCGCAATCGCTAAGCTGTTCTTGTTAACCTAATATGAGAATTTATTTAACATTTTAAAACGAAGAAGCTGAGTTTCGCACTACTTGCGATACAACAATTATAGGATGAGTGCACCATGATGGTAAAAAGTAAGCAAACAGAACTTCGAACGATGTTACAATCGAGGAAAGAAGTGGATTTGCTGTGTTTGAATTTTTTAGAAGAGGTCCTAGTGGGGTTAAATTTGGGCGTTTAAAAATTAGTGCCAAGTATCGATCTCAAAAATACATAATTTTAAGGAAAAAAATCGTTAAATAAGCCGACAGAATAGAAGCCGACATCCAAAAAGCTGAAACTCAGTCGAAAACTTTCGTGAAAACATACGGAAAAAACTCATGTTAAGTCATATAGGATCCACGATAAACCGACAGAGCTTAAGTCGACAACCATGAAGCCGAAAAATCATCAGCAGAAAATTAAAACAAAAACTCTTTAAAGTATACATACAATAGTGTGAGTTCTAGATATAGCATACAATATGAACTAGTGCCTGGCATGCGCTAGTTAAATTTGAATTTTCATGAAATTGAGCATGCCAGCGTCATAAATGATTCAACTGATTTTGTTTAACTAGTTGGTAACCCGAAAAAAGTCTATATTCCGATTTGAATATGCTTGCTAATCGCAAGCGTAAAGAAAATCAATGGAGGTCAAAAAAAGATGAGAACTTATAAAAACATTTTAAAACAAAATCAATGGATGTCAAAACTCAACAAAATCAAAGCATTCAAAGCTTACAACTTCTCGTATGACGCAACCTTTTGGTACACGGTCAAAAAACATGTGTGACCAAGATCAAAAATTGAACATCAAATCGAACTTCGTCGGTCGAAATGCCTGTTTACCTTCCTTCCCAGCAGAACTAATTTCAAGTTCAACTTCGCTTATCATTGAGCTACTGGAGACGTGTAACCGATGTGTCAGATAAAGACATGTAAAAGTAAAAGATGCAAAGCAATATTGAATTCGGTCTAGATAAAAGAATATTAAATTTAAAGACAATCGATTTGAGCAATTACTTCTTCAATCTACTTTTTACAATAAAAATCTCGAGGTTATTAACAATGGCAATTGAAAAATTCGCTAATTGAACTAATGTGAGCATCTACAGTGCGTTTCGCTAGTAACGAAAGATGTATATTAGTTTTAACAGCTATGTAATTTGAGAAATTCTTGATTGATTTGATAGAGTGACAATTAGCACAGTAGAAAAGTGTCTTCGAGGACATTTTCTTGCAACATCATCAGTGGAATGTTCACTTTACCCACACAAGATGAGTTAACAGTACTAAACTGGTAATAACAGACGGACACTTCCATGTACAAATTCTCCCACGTGTTGCCTCCGACATTGAACGAAAACAGTTGATTGAAAATCGGACTGCTCGAATTTTTAATATCCGTTTTCTTCTTGAAGCTGTCCGTTTTCATGTACAGTTTTTCGTCAACTGGTAGCAGCTTAAGCTTCACATACACGTTTGAGTTCAGACTGTCTTCCTGTAAATCATTGGAGTAATTCGGAGTCATTAAGTCAACACACCGTTTAATTAAAACCTTCACTTGCGTTTTTCGATCGTCGCATGATATCTTCATCTCGATTTTTCCTCCAGTTTGGACCGATTGCATTGAACTCATTGATGGGCTAGTGTGTAAGTATATATCTTCGCTATTCAACGTGAAGCTTTTGTCTTCGGGTAAGGATTGAAAAAACGTGTAAATCGCATCACTGTTTCGCACCGCGCTCTTCGAAGACGCAAAAATGAAATCGAGAAACTGTTGAATTGCAGTGCGTCTATGTGACAATCTACTACTCTGCTTGCTGAACATCTGCTGGAAGTTGAGAATAAGGCGACTCTTTGGATCCCGGAAGAAGTCCGGGAACCTGGCTGCGAGGAGATCCATCAGTTGTCGGAAGTGGGACCATCTTCGGAACACGAAGTAAGTCTCTCTTCCTTCGGTATTCACTTCACAGACGTACACGTGAAACCTAGACCAGAGAACATTATTATTTGAACTATTCTCATGGACGTTTTATGCAAGTTATTTTTCTTTGTCACTTCGCTTCAATTTTTTAATTCCTTTGTTTCATTAATTGGACAAACTATCTTCCAATTTCAAGGACAGCTGGTCGCTCTGCAAGTGGCACAAAATGACCATATCATAGTAATACACTTGGAAAAAGTTAAAAATTTGAAAAAAAAATCGCATATATTATTATTTTTATTTAAAATAAAGAGTAACTTAATTAGGATAAATACTGCAAAATCGAGAAAAAATATGGCTAAAATAAAAATAAACTCGCAGAAGAATTGAATTAAGGATATCGGTCTCAGCAAATTTCGTCTAATTTAGTCTGAAAATTGAAAAATATTCAGACCAGTTTTCCTCAACATCGAGACAACTATTTTTAAGCGTTTCTTAACATTGCGAAAAGAATCAAGAAGGATTTAATGTACAGGCGAAGCTGCACTTCGCAAACACAAACGAAAAAACGCCAAGAAGGAGTTTTAAAAGGGTCAATATGAATCTTAAAAGGGCCAAACTAAAATTTGCGACTAGTTTAAAAAACGAGTCTTGTAGGATGAATCTTACTTAGGTAAATATCATACTACGCTTGACCCCCTACTAGCTTTCCTTGAGGTAGTTAAAAAACGGACTGTACGCCATAGTTCCTTTCCATTCTTTGAGAGTGGCCAAAACAAAAAGGCATGTGTGTATTGTCAACACTAATCTTATGCTTGCAACACTTCACCCAGGGAAACACAATTCAGTTATTTGAACAAAACTTCAGGCACTTAGCATAGTGGTAAGGCGTTCACTCCGAGCTCGTCAGATCGTGTAATCGATCCCGTGCCATTGCAATGATAGTGTGTGCGAACGAGCTCTCACTTGATCTATAGCTTCAGGTCTACCACAGCCTGACCAATTACGGCTTAAATAATTGTACCACGTGAATTTTCAAGACGCAAAAAACGGCCTCGAGTTGCAAAAAAAGAGCGCAGCTGGGGAAATAAGAGAAACGGACTATGCTTAGACAGGCTGAGAATAGCCTCTCACAGACCCTCTGCGAATCGCAGAAACCACAATTATTAGAGGCGAAGCACAGATTCGTAACACCTGCGATGCGTAAAACACATTGCGCTACAAAATAGTGAATGAAAAAAGACTAAGTAAGAAAAAATTCTAAAAATTATGTTGGAAAAAATTACTTCACAAAAACTCAATATTTGCACCAGATGAAGTTCATGAATATCCCTCAAAAACAAAAATCATTTACCGAGCAGCAAAAGAGGCGACAAACTTTGGGTCGAAACCTGTTGAGCCGAAAATAAAACTGTTGTCATAAAAAAATTCATAAAATTTATAAGTTTTTACGACCAATGCAAACTGAAACACATAATCCGAAACGAAATTACGAAAAATGCCCTCGAAATTACGAAACATAAATTGACTAAGTCAACATAACAAAAACGGTTAGAATATTTAAAAAACAAACAAAAAAATGGAAAAAAAACTCAATGTCAGACATAGTAAATTAACAAATTTGTGATCTTTCAGTTATAGTAAAAAGTGTTTAAATTAGAAAAACCCATGCTTTAAAAATTAAACCAATAAAAGCCTGCCAGATAAAAAAAATGATCCCCAAGAAAGTGAGAAACTTTTTTGAAAAGATAATTACAACCTGAAACGGGCTTAAGGAACGCGCTAAAAAACTAATTACTACTTAAATGATAGAAGAGGAGATCCAACTTAAGAAGTGAAGATCCTCTAGCAGCGGAGATCCTCTAAAAGCGATACTGTGGACAAAGTTGTTTACGAAAAACAAGTCTAGAACCCGATTGCAATACTCTTGCTTATCGCAAGGGTAATTATTAAGGATTAAGTGGGCTAAACCCCTGAGATTTAGTTTGTGTTACGAAACTTCTAAAAACAAAACTTCGGCAAACAACAAAGTAGCCAAATCCCTCAAACATTGAAAACTTTTACACAGTGGCGAAACACAGCTTCGCATCACTTGCGAGACAACGCAAGCTTAGCAAATAAAAAATAAGTCGAAAAAAAAAGAAAACAAAAATAATATTAATTTCAGAAAAACAGTCAAGAAACACAACAGCCCATATTAAATAAGCTTTCAGTAATTTGAGCAGCCAACAATATGCAGGTGCACGCCCTTTGATCCTAAAGCAATCAAAAATTCCATAAGAAACTTTTCATAAAAAAAATTGGAGCGATTGAGTTTGAAATTTATAATTTATACACGACTTGAAATAATAGTTAACATTAAAATTAAATTTTGCCCTCCTACCGATACAAAATAAGTTGAAAGAGCAAAAAAAAAAAACAAACCGAAAAAGCCAGAGGTAGTAAATTTAGAAATCACAGTAGTAAATCAACACCTTGAAAAAGACTGATGTCTTTCAACTTTAAAACACTTCCGTTGATTTGAAACATTTTCTTTCAACTTATTAAAACACTTTCCGTTGATTTTGATGTGTATATTTTTTTAATTAAAATTATTCAGTTGGTTTCTTCTTCTTTTTTAAATGACAAAAAAGGTTACCAGTGATTCCAGGAACAAATATATCTAAAAAATGGTTGATTTCCATCTAAACCTTTAAATAAAAGATATCTTTCTGTGCAACTTGCTGCGAAACTGATTTCTCTTGGTTAAGTTTTTGAGCCCATCAAATCCCCATGAAAAATATACAAAAGCCGTATTCGCTTTACCTTTCATTGTCCGAATCAAAACGGTGTTGAACGCCGGCTACTTTGACCATCAGTATCTCTGCCGTGTCCTCCCGAGTGACTCTGTTGAGGGTGAAGTCAAATAGCCTCTTGTTCTTCGCAGAGGACAACCCTGTCTGGCCTAGTGCGTGGATGACGAAGTTCAAACTTGTGATCATTGACTTGTCGATGCTCTCGTTTATTTTCTGCGTGAACATCTAAATAAATGAACACATTTAAGAACATCAAGATGAATAATAAAAACCAGCTGCGTCAATCTTGCACAAATTTTGAGTTTTTTTGTAAAAAAACTTCAAAAACTTTACTTCACATAATCTTCAAGCAAAAATAAAAGAGAGAAATTCCCCAGCAGAAAAATAAGAACTGTTTGAAATAATCTGCAAGGTTGTAGAACTTTTGATCATGAGAAACCCAGCAGAAAATACAAAATACAGAGGAAAACCACGGATCAATTGAGCAATCTCCACCATTCTAGAGGGGGGGGGGGAGAGATAGCTCAATAGGGGGCTGTGTATATTAGGCGAAAATAAAAACAAAAGTGTTAAATTTAGGCGAAAATTTTGATAATGAAAGTGTAGATTTTAGCAACCCCCCCCCCCCCCCTTAATTTTCCAGACGACATTGACGAGAAGCGGTTAAAGACTGCAAAGTCGTTTGTCGGTTTAAGGTCGCCGACGGGCGATAACCGGCTCTAATTTTCTTAAAGAGACCTACCCTCTGTTGGCAAGCTCGCAACACGTTGGCGCGACTGCGGCGGTCACTATTTTTCCGTTGGTTTGCTGTTTGAATAATATTACGTGTATTTTTGTATCTAGCAATGGAATGTCGTAAGTAATCACATACAGTTTCGCTAAAGTTTAGACTTTTTCAATCAAAATTTTCGCCTAATTTTAATACTTTTATTTTCGCCTAATATAGTTTTCGCCTAAAATAGCCGCCCCCGCTCAATAGGTACTTGAGATATGTTTATAACCACTTGAAATTAGTTTAAATTAAATGAAACCATGAACCAGACTCTCCAACGATTATGAAACGCCAAAATTTACAATATCAAAGCTCAAAAACTACATTTAGAGTGAAAAAAGAATCAATAAAACTGAGGCACGTAAAGCAGCCCTGGTAAATCGCTTTCCTCGATAGGGCAACGGTCGCCCAAACAAAAATTTCCAAAAAAATTGTCTGATTTTTGGTTTTTTCTTTTTCAAATTTTTCTCGATACTCATATAAAACAAACTTCAATCGGCCAATTGAAAGCGTGCTATTAATTGGGTGGGGGGGGGGGGCAGATAGCTCAATTGGTCATGTCATTACGGGGGGGGGGGATTGCTCAATTGATCCGAAAACCACTAATTGAAGAAAACTGTAAAGATAGAGTAGGACAGCTGACCTGTGTAGCTTCGTCTTCACTCAGTTGTGGCTGTAGCCTCTGCACTAGAAACTGAATCTCCCTTGATATTTCCGGCCTCTCTCCTCCGATCATGTGCCTAACAATCGCAATTACAAAATCCGCATTGCGCCTCACCACATTATACGCAGCACAACAAGTCTTCACGAACTCATAGTAACTCTCAGACACATCCGAGTTCGATCTATTGATCGCGTAGAACATATCTTTGGTCAGAATAAACGGAGTCCTGTCACGATTCACAGGTCCAAACTTCTGATTATGTCCGAAAATGCGACCGTAGTCAATGTGAAACAGGTGTCCCGAGGGAAGAATCATGACATTGTCGTTGTGTCGGTCACAGACTCCAAGTATGTAGGTCGCAACACAGTAGGCAGCAGTCGAAAGAGTGAAATTGTCCAGAGCAATATCGAAAGCAGTTGCGTCTGGGTTCTTCTGACGCAGCCATTGATATATGCAATTCAAATTTAAGGCGCCCGTGAAGCCTCCTGCGAATGTTTGCAGTTGACACAAAGTCACTGCATTCGGAACAACTTCGATGAAGCCTGAATTGGGAGTACAGGGAAAAACTCCGTATGATATGAATTTAAGATCTAGATTGTCTGACAACCACCAGGAATTCATAAATGTCATTAGCAGAGACATCAGTTGGTCTTGTCGAAGATCGTCGCCGTACTTGTAAATAACTTCTAGCTCGAAGTCGCTTTTAGTAACGAAATATAAATGCATCGGTTTCGCATTTGACTTCGCGTGCAGAAAACACCTTTCAACGTTAAATCCCCTACAAGTTCGACCAGGCGGGAAAAACGAGACTATTTCTTGCTGTTCATTTTGGAAAAGACTCTCATTTAGATCGGCCAAAAACGCTTTTAAAACTATGGTTTCTTTTTCTACATTTAATTCGGTGTAGAATTTTTCAAGTTCACGTGCGAGCCTCTCCTGTGCTTCGAAGCCTTGAACAACATTACTGGGACATATATCAGAAATTGAGGCTTTGTAAACCTCAAACATCTGCTTATATTGAGGCAACGAAGTGCAGAGAATGAAGTTTCTGAAGAGCGAAATTCCGAACAGAAGCGATTCCGCACATTTTTGCAACAAAAACTCAATCAATGGGTTCGCGATGTAAATTTCGTACTTAAGACACTCGCACAGAACTGGAACTAAAACTATCAATTCGTCATTGGTGAAGTCGAGATTTTCGACCGCAAACTGACGTAATGCCGAATCTGAGAATCTGTAGAGAAGAATCACAAACGCAGAAAAGCGATCCATCTGACCACAACATAGCGAAATCAATTCATTAATGTGACGAGTTTGAGCATAGTTCCACGACCAGATATTGGAAAACAACACATCTGGCAAATAGTTTGAGCCATAACATTCGTCAGTAAGAAGATTTCGTCTGTATTGCCATATGAGTTCACAGTCGTCGCGAATCATGTCGCCTCGCTCATCATTCGGCAAAGGGATCTCTGGATTCCTAAGCAACATGTTCTCATGTTTATACTGAAAGATTCTGTCTATCCGTTTCAGTCTACTACTTCTCAGAGGACTTTCTGGAATAGTTCGTTTCAAAGTGTGGTCTGCGCCATTTTCTACTTGAGTTATTGAGAAAACTAATGATTCCTTGGACGGATTGACAATTTCCATGTGCAAGATAGGAGATGTATTTGATGCTGTGTTTAAAGTCGGCGAGCTAAGATGTGTGTAGTCAGGATGAGGTAAATTGGGTTTGACCCAAAACGGAAGGAACACTTGAGCGTCGTTGAAAATTCCATTGCAGTCGAAAACCGGATAGGCCACCGACGCCAGTTTAACTTCAGCTAAAGTAGTTTCAGATATGTAGCACAGAGATACTGACAGAACTAACTCACGTGGAAGGTCACATATTCTTACAACTCCACAGTCGAGAGGGTCCGAAAATGTCAATGTTTGATTGATCTCAATAGTAGCTTTCGAGCGGACGTTGTGCCAGAAATCCCGAAACGAGGATTTGAAAATTACGCGACCATTATAATACATGCACACATCAATGAAGATCTTAGTCAAAGCTTCTCGTACAGCCAGAGATCCTATATTGCTAATCGAGAATATTTTCACTCCAAAGTTTTGTAAATTCGAGGCTGCTGTTAGCGGCAACTTTGTAACTTCTTTGCAATATTTGAGGTACTGAAATGATGAAATTAAATACTTTCCAAAATCTAGCGCTTCCGACATAACTAACTCTCTTTTCTTGTTATAATCGGTCGAACTGCTATTTTCCAGAAGATCATATGCGTCTGATAATGGAGAGTAGTGAATGTTCAGAAAACTGCTCAGCAACTTCGCACTTTGAATGAATCTCATGAGGTTTCGATTTGAAACTGAGTTTTTACGACCGACTTCTTGGTCGCCTTCAACTGCCAGATTTGCTTCGACAATTATTTGGACTAAATGCTCCAAATGAGAAGCCAAAGGCCAAGTAACTGCTTCAGAAGCGTACAAATCCGATGTTTCAGACCTTTGGCGTCGCTTCTCTGCCTTTCCTGATCTAATATCATCGTCTACTTTTTTGATGCAAACATCCAACGGTCGCCTCAGCGCGAACAACTTTCGAACAATGAGGTGGGATCCGATCACCGAGTCAGGTTGCATGTATATCTGACAGCCACAGAACCTGACATAATAATGACCAGGTCCCAGATCACTGAAGTTAGACTTCCAGAACTCCAAAATATCGTTTGCAGTTCGTTTTAACTTACAGTTTCTGTACTCCAAATAAGGTTCCTTAGAGCTGCGCTCGTCATCATTTATGAAGAATCTGACTTTAATCAAGGATTCCAGTTTATTGGAAGTCAAATTGTTTCCGCCTGTTGATAATACGAATCCATCTGCTACGCAATTTGATTGCGAAAAAGCGTAACTTTCTGTTCTAAATTTCACTTTGTCAATACAGCTTCTAAGTTTCTCGATAGGCTGCAAACAGACAACACCAACGTCCGGGGCGGCCAAGTTTTCATCAGTCGACTGACATACTTCAGAGTTAGCTTTTCTTCTGGGAAGCGGAGGTGCTAAAGAGCTCCTCAGTGAATCTGAAGACGATGGTCGGACACTTAAATGAGGTGGTTCTACTGTTGAAAATGCTCTCTCAATGACATCATTGGGCGGTTTTGGCGGTAAAGGAGGTCCTGGTTGATTTTTTGAAGGCGACTTTTTAATCCTTGGAGGCAATTCAGGTGGTAGTTTCTCCTCTGCAATCTGGTTGAACGCTTTAAAAAGTTCTTCCAATGAATCTGCTCGTTGCGGAACCAACGGATCAAACTCCTCCACGTAAGACGAATTGTTCGGAGAACAACTTGAAAAATCTGGAACTGAAGCTGCAGATTTTAAATGCGAGTCCTGGTCGTCATTTAACAAGTTTGAAGTGCTTATTGATACATTTTGAGTGTTTCGTTTGTAGCGCACAACTGGACTGTTTTCTTCTGACTTTGGCACTGTTAGATATCCGGCTGTTCCGATCGATAGTCTTCCATGAATCGATGTTGAAAGAGGTGGACTTGAGAAAAACTGAGAAGCATTGTCGGTTATTAGCGAGTTCAAGTCTTTCGAATCTGAGCTTCGGTCCCATGGCGATTCTGAGCGACTGTTCGCCTGTTGTGTCATGTTGTCTGTGTGAGCTTTCCCACTACAAAACCAACATCTGTGAGATAAGCCTGACAACTACTGAGTGATCGCAGACTACTAAGAACAACATAAAAAGGTATATACATCTAATCTGAAACGACGAATCAAACCAGGTCTAAATCATGAAATGATTTCAACATCAAACTGTTAACACAGATTTATTACTTAGAAAATAAATTTATAATAATCCTACCTAATTTATTTAATAACTTTTCCTCGTTTTTGACAAAAACAACCAAATATTAATCTAAATTTGCTGCAAAAAAGGTAATTGATCAAAGACAAAATTCAAAACGAACAAAATACAGACTGAAATACTATCAGTTAATTTAAAATACTTTAATGCGTTTGGCTGTCGGTTCCGAGACTTCCGGCGCATCCTTCACGAGGTATGCACTCTTATCCAATTCCTCTAAAATTAAGTAGTCCGCTATGTACTCGTTTTTAAAGCATTCCACTCCGTTTGCAGTCAACTGCGCACAACTCACCAAACTCATGTCGACTCGATTTGGCTCAATAAACGCGTGGGTTGCTCCTGTTATATTCACAAACGGGGGCTGCTCGTGTAATATTTCAGCGCCTCCTGCGTTCAAAATAGCAGCCAAGCCTTTAGTTTTGGCTTTACTTGTGTGGAACAGAACTTTCCAAGACGAGTAAGCACCCCCTGAGTAGATCCCATTTTGACCTACTAAAACCCTCCACCGTTTTGCAGCTCTAGCTACATTGTGTACTTTAGTCTGAATAGAAGCGAAGCCTAATTTCTCACTACCCCATTCGAAATCCTCCTCGTTCAAAAACCTGCCCGCTTTTGTCGACTCTTCAAGGTAACTGCAGCTCAGAACCCAGAGACCCTTCGCCACCGAGGCCATGTATTTCTCACTCTTCAGTGGAGCTTTGCATAGTAAATGAGTTGCTGTCGGGTCGAAAGATGAAGAATCAGCTATCACTTTGGCGCCCAAATTTTCAATCATGTTCTCCAAGTAAGGCCTTTGGTCTCTTTCTATACTCGTTATCTGAAACACTCTCACTTTCTGAAGCGATTTAGGAGTCAAACAGCTTCGTTCTGATTTTGCATTTTGATCCATGTTTTCAATATTGTCCATTGGATTGTTTCCAAAAGAATTAGATTCGGCCTCCCAGCCAATTTGGACACTCTGTGAGCACTCAATGTAGTGATCGGCAGGTTTTTGAAATTTAGACAGCAGGTTTGTCGACAGTTTGGCCGACAGACCTTCACTTTTCATATCATTTCTTGCGTTTGATCCGGGATCTTCAGCCAATTTCGATTTACCACGGTTCGAGCTCGAAGCTGACGCGACTTTCTGTAGAGAATTAGGGGTGGATCCTTCCTTCAGTTTAGCCAAAGATCCTCGCAAATCAAAACTGAGTTTAGATGGCGTCGATGACAAACTGGTATTTTGGGAATTTCGCCCGATATTGTTTTCATTTATTGGAAATGATGCGTCTTCTTCAGGTGGTATAGGCATGGGTTCCAGATTTAGGGTTTTCAAGTTTTTACTCCTGGTCGTCCGGGTTGTAGCTCTAATTGTGGGCTGGGGTTTCGGAGCAGCAGGTAGCAATTTAGGCCGAAAACTTTCTTCGCCTATTAGACTTCTTTTTTCTTTGCACTCTTGAGCCCAATCAATGCTGACTAATTTGATATTCAACTGGTCAGTTTTTTCAACATCTTGATGGTCTTCAGCGATAGTCGAATCTTCTACAAAGCAATGAGTACACATTTCATTCAAATTATTGGAAATACTAGCTCCTAACTCTGACAATAGACCTGACATTTTTATTCTGATTGCATCAGATAGAGAATTGTGCAAGAAAGCATTAACTGTGTTTAACACAGATTTCAAGTCAAACAAGTTTTCAATGTCAAGATAACTTCGGCTTATTTCATCGTCGATCTGCTGCCCTGTACCTCCAAAACACGAACTCTGTCTCTTCGCAACATTTCGACTATTGTTGATCGCATTTTGAGACAAAGTGCTCATCGGGCCGACAGATTTTTTCCTTGGAAAAGGTGATTCCAAATTGTCTTCGATGGGCCGTTTCAGCTCAAATTCGTCAATTGGGACAAGACGCTGTGACGTGCAGCAATTGATGATCCAATTTGGTGTGACGAAGTGGATATCGTCTGACGCAGTTTTGTATAGGAACTCACTTGAAGGCAGTTTGTCACATATCACATGGGTAACTCCATGCTGATATGTCTAAAATTATCGAAAGATTGATTTGTCGAGAGTTTCGAAACCTGAAATTGGAGCAATAATTTTTTCCTATTAAATTATCAGAGGATGGAAAGAAATTATGAAATATATCTTTGAGATGCAAAAGAAAACTAAAAAACCTGGGGTCTCCTAAAAACCTGGAATTGCAGAAATTAGCTGAGGAAGTCTTTTTGATCAAAATGCATGCATTTGTTTCCTGCATTTCGTGCAATTTTTTCCCATATAAAAAGTCAAATGCCACGCAAAATGTACGCTAAAGCACGGCAGTCAAACTTGTCAAAATATTTTTGATGCTTTGAAGAAAAAATACAACTAAACGAAGCCTACTTTGTAAACAGTTGCGCCGCACTTTTGCATTATTTCTTCAATTGCAGCCGATTCTGTACTGTCAAGTCCAATTATGTGAGCCTTGCAGAAATTCAAAACATCATTCGCTTCAAACGAACTCGGCAACTGACTCGTAATAAATGAGTTAGACCGACTCAGCACTCCCCGACTTGTGTCAAACGAGACGTCAGCTGTTTCCTTCGGAACTAAATCCATGTTGAATTTATACAAATTTGGGTCACAAAAGTATCCTTTTTCCAGACAATCTGGCAGCCATCGCTGGGTTAAAACAGGAAGTTTCCATTTTCGCGCATATATTAACTTCTGCTGATTAGAAGCCGCTTCAGTGGCGATTAGATGTGTAACGTAATCTGACTTCAAATCTGCGCTGTACTTACCTCCATTACTCACAACAGCTTGCTCAACTAATTTTCGATCGGCCATTGGAAGTCCACTAACACAAATCACACAGCCAGCAAAAATCGGAACTTTAAACTCCTTCATAAACGCTTCATCTGTTGCCAGCTTTTGCCTTTTTCGAAGTTCAAACGCAGTTGTGACCCATTGCGGCGTCAAAATCGGAATTTTCATTTGAGTTGCAACTATGTACTTTTTAGTTCCAACTGAACTACAAATCAAATGTGTTGTACTAGTGTTCAAATCCCCACTATACTTCCCACCCATCAACTCGACTAGTTTTCGAACTTCATTACGGGTTTCGAAAGCCACATCTGTGCAGCATGCTGTGACGTTGTGCATAGAAACAGACACTAGAACCTTGCCACCAATACTATGGAGTTTAAGTGCGTTTCTAGTTGCCATCAAACAAGCTACGGGGCAAATTATTCTGCTTTGGAGTACATTCAGAATGTAATCATACGCTTCGCCTTCTAGCTCGTCCATTATGAAAACACTTCGCATTCCAGTTTGGACAGAGGGTCTGATTTTGATGACTTCTTGAGGTGTGAGTTCTTTGAATCCTCTATTTTTCTCTCTCCACAAGTTAATAAATTCTGTCATTGCGTGGCTTTTTATAGACTCGCACACTAATATGAGTTGGTTGGAGTCTCCACGTTGTTTGTGTGCCGACATACTCTAAACCTCAAAACGGAAAACTTCATTTCTAATCATACTCGCAATAGCTCACGGTTTACAACTAAATACTTCGTATTCTTAACACTTTTCCCAAGTAAAACTATCAAAAATTGGATCAACCGCACAATCCCCCCTTAAGTGACCTACCGTAGAACAAACCCCCAGTTATGGTAGCGGATTTAGGTGGGGAACAGCGCCCTACACCCCCCCCCTTCCAACCCATCCCCACTCAGGGACTCGACCCCCTGCCGACCCAAAGGGTCCTCCCTTTGTACTATTTTGAGATATCGTGTGATTACTAGCCTAAAATTTTTCTTAATGGGCCTTCGGCGTCATTTTATAATGATTGTAAGGTGGAGCACTCGCCAAAAAACGCGATTTACTGGTCAAAATAATTCAAAAAGCGACAAAAAACGCTTTTATGGCCTATTTTTTTTTCAAAATTTTGCCTGTGGCCCAGAAAATTTAGTCAAAATATGGTCTTTATAGTGATATGGGAGAGCTCAAAAAATCTATCCGGTCCACAAAAAAATGACGGCAAAATTCTTTTTGAAAATCCACCCCTCTCAGGAAAATCCTAGATCCGTTGCTGCCCAGCTATGTATTATTTTTGAAAATTATTTCTTTATAAAAAATGCATTTCGAACAAATGCACTGATTAATTTCGCTTTGAAATTTTTTAATGCGGGATTTTTTTGTATACTGCTAGCCACCTAAATTAACGTTTTAGTAAAAATTCTCGAAGTAAAACTCGCGTAGAGGCGAAGCTGTGCTTCGCAAACACTAGCCAGCACACGACAAAACAGCAGCTCTATAACCTGCAATAAGAAAAAATAAAATAAACATCAAATTAGTGAAGATTTTGCTATAACTCGATTCGAAAGGTTGGGAAAAAAGAAGGGTTGTACTAATAGAGATCGCTCGCAAGCTTGCCAGTGTAATAATTGAATCAATTTATGCGATATACTCAAAGTTAACTTCTGAAAGTCTTAAATAATATTCCCCCTAAATCGATTTAGGGGGATATTGCACGGTTGATCTCAGAGAGTGCATAATTTCTTAACCCTGTCAAACATGCTTCTCGTCATTGACAAATGGCAACGTTTTTTGTCGAATTTTATACAAAATTATCTGAACTACCAATCGTTTGGTACAATACCACAACTTGTTCTGATATATTTTGGTTCGTTGTACGCTTATCAATGAACAAGTCTCAATCTCGTTGAAAACAGTTCATTTCGAAAACTAATTTACTATATGCTACAACTAACATTATCTGATTTTAATCAGTCTAGCCCAAACACTGTAGCTCAATAAACATAGAATAGAGGAAGAAATTATAAAAGTATTCTTTACAACATTTTTAACCTTTTCTTTTCTAATTAAATTTTTTACTGACAGAGATTGGTGTTCTTTAAAACCAGAGGTTTTAACTTGCTCATTGAACATCAAGTCCAGTCTGTTGATGTAGTCCACAACATGTTCAAAACAAGAAATAACTGTTTGTGCATTTTTCCACTTAAGGTCAACTTTCCACATCGGCATTAATAAACTGAACAAATAGGCGTCAGCTGCGCATGGTTCATCGCCGGTAAGATAATTCTTACACAGCAAAATGCTATTGATAGTCTCCAAGGCCGCCTTTAGTTGTTTTAGCACTGCTTTTTCAACAATATCATCACTATGCATTAAAACCGGTCCTCCCAAAATCGATAGGAGTTCGTTTTTTCGACGACTAGCCCACAGCGCAGGAATAACTACACCAAGTGGAAAATGACAATTGCGCCCAAACACTGGTCGTGTGAAACGAACAGAGTTTTCATGCCTAGCCCAAAAAGTGTACAAAAACGCAGGATATACTTTCTGCTTGATGAACTTTCTGAGGTACAATTCATTCACGTCACCGTTTTCACTTTTCCACAACAAGTCATCAATTTCAGATCTACTCAAGGTGTGACCGTTTTGAACAACAGAGAGGAGATTTTCTCCATAAATTGAAGATAAAGATGGTACATGGTATTCGAGTCCAAACTTTTCCAATTTAAGCAGCCGACTTTGCATTATTAATTGGAGAGCGATTGGGTCAATAGAAAAGCAATTTGAACAGAAAAGCCAAATTTTGCACCTAGTAGAGCTAGCCATTGACATATCTAAAATATTGAGACCAACGCCCCTGCACTTATTATAGAAATCAATTTCTTTCTGATTGTTAAATGATTGGTACAGCTAGTGTTTTATCGAAAATTAAATCTGATAATTACTACAGCAACAAGTAGCACATAAATTTCCGATCACAGTAAATTAAGATAGCCAAATAAAAATAAGGAAAATGTAAAAAAAAAATTCGAGTTCTTTTTTTTCTAGGCATTCTGAGTGGGTTCAATTAAAATTCTCCAGATGTGAGTGATAATGACTTAAAAAATATATATAAGCACTCATTAAAGAGTGCATTAAGTGCAAAATAGTCTGAAAAATTATTTTATAAAGAGGTTCCAAGTAAGGTTGATTTGGAGCATTCGAAGTTTATTCGCAGTCTTATCAACCTAATATTAATTAAAACATTAGGCAAACGAGCCGAGAATCAAAAATGACACCCAAAAAGCTTTTTAGGCACAAATAACAAAGACAGCCGCTTGCTGTCCAAATAGCTTCAAAAGTTCGAACCACATTTAAAAAAACTAGAAACAATTTGTTAGTCCTTTTATCAAATTTGTGTCGATTTTCGCGCGTGAAAAGATATACTTAAGCATACGAAATTCGTCAATTTGGGTTACGTAGTAAAAAGTAGACAAGTCATAAAGTAGACACGTCATAAATTAGACACGTCATAAATTAGACAATTACTAAATTAACAAATCAGAATCGAGAACAGGCAGCAAACTTTTTTTAAGGTTTCAATTTCTAGCATATTCTGTTGCAAAAACAGAGGGTCCTAAATTTGCGCGATTCAAAACACCTGCGTGCGATAATCCTTTTCCATTTAAGCGCAGGGAGTAAAACCCTAGCAAATTATCCGATACTTGGGAGAAAAGATTGATCTGAAATGAATTAGATGAATCACTGTGGAATGAAAAAAATCACAGTCTCAAAGTTTTGTACCTAAAATTCAAGAAAAATAAAAACCCTATTCACAATATGTAATACTTCAACAAGAAAGAGTAACAAAACTTCATAAAAAATGGCATTAACGATTACCGAGAAACATCGAAACAGATGAGACGCCAACTTTATGACTCGTGTAGCAAAAAGCCACAGATCTTTATTGCGCATTTGCCGAGCTTCAACGCGCATTTGATTGGAGTCGAAAAAGGGAAAAAACAGCAATTGAGAGCTCATTATTCTACAAAAGTTATCGAAAAAGAATATCTTAGAACAAAATTGCTTTTCACCAAAATCCGTTACTGATATTACCTAAATTGAGCTACAAAAGGAAATTGTTAGCCACAGAGATGAAACGGAGTTTGCAGACAACCCGAAAAATCTATATTCCAGCATAATTAATTTCGAACCAAAAAGAAATGTACCAACCAATTTTAAAACGAAAACCAAAAATCGATATTTTTTCACACAAAGGCGAAGCGAAGCTTCACACCACTTACAATGCAACACAAACATAAAAAAACTTCAAAGTAGGTGAAGCAGAAATTTTGTTTGTCTCGATAAAAAATAACTAGAGGCCCAACTAAAACAAAATCGGAGTGAAACTTTTTTAGAATTTAGAAATTATGTAGTGACACAACAATTTCCCATTTTAAGGCGTAGCCGCTTATGCACAGAGGATCCCCACAACCTGTTGCCTCGATGTAACATTTGATATCAGCTGTTTTCGGCTGAGTAATTCAAAAAAAACTACAAGAAATCAAAACATTGATTTTCTGAGGGCCATAATTTTTTTGTTGTAAGATTTGGATGTCGCCTTCTATTCTGGGGAACCTCTCTGAACGAAAGAACAAAATGCGTAAACTCAAAAACAGGACTTTGCACAAAATCGTAGTTGTTTTTCTATTAAAATAAATGAGAAATAAATACATAACATTTTTCTATCAAAAAATTAAGGAGTCGCCCCTTCTACAGGACAAATTTTTGCAATCGGATCTTTCGATTGAAACATCATCGCAGATTTGAAAAGGTAGTTTTTTAAAGAAAAGTCAAAAAAACTCGTGACCGATTAAGCACAAAAGATTCATAGAATCGGGTTACTCGATTGAACACTAAATCTAAGAATTGGCAGGCTAGTTTTCGAGAAAAGTCAAAAAACATCCAAAGAATAGCTTTTTGGGTAGAAAATTTAGGGCTGCAACATTGGTTGCAACAACTAAATAAAAAAAGATCAATTCATTGTAAATTTCTAAACTTTCAAGTACAAAAAAGATAAAGATACATTCAACATTCAACCACTATGAACCTCAAGATTGTTTTAAGATTTGAGAAAAGTGGATTCATAGGTATTTTTGATATGCCGCTGAAAAAACCAAAAAATTAAATTATCTTTTGAAGTTAAGAGTCATTTGCGAATTTTGGCGCTATATACATTTTCGTTACGGATAAAAATGCACCGCCAAATGAATTCAAATTGAACTTGAAAAAATCAAAAAGCAAAAATATCAAATTTTAGCGCAAACAATCTTTCAGATTTTTTATTAAGAAAAACGAGCGTTCTAAAAGTTTCTTCACTTCGTTCTTTGACATTTAAAATATTTTGAAATGTTTTTCAAGATTTCTCAACCCTCTTCCACGAATTTTCTCACAGCCGGAGAAAAATCTGTGATGTGGCAATTAAGCCGACAATCTTCGAGCAGCCAAGAGTTGAGCTGAAATATAATTTTTAAATTTTTTAAACAAAATTTCAAGTCTCCTCTGAAACTAAAATAAACAACTCTTGCACTTTCAACTAACATTAAAGTTGCTCAAATAACAAGCAAAGTCGGTGAGATAGCAACTAAGTCGACAAAACTTGAGCAGAAAAACAAAATCCCGACAAACCAATGCATGCGACAAATCA